GTTGGTTTTATAGCCACACTCCACACTCATGTGTTAGTTGGTTGGTTTTATAGCCACACTCCACACTCATGTGTTAGTTGGTTGGTTTTATAGCCACACTCCACACTCATGTGTTAGTTGGTTGGTTTTATAGCCACACTCCACACTCATGTGTTAGTTGGTTGGTTTTATAGCCACACTCCACACTCATGTGTTAGTTGGTTGGTTTTATAGCCACACTCCACACTCATGTGTTAGTTGGTTGGTTTTATAGCCACACTCCACACTCATGTGTTAGCCAGTTGGTTTTCATATTCATGTGACTGCTGGAGCAGGATATTCAACACTGGGTAGTGTGTTAATTATCATGGGAAAGCTTTTTCATCAGGGAGTGCATTTTATAATCTTAATTAAGGGGTTCATCAGTAAGGCCAAGTACACCAAGATGACCACCATCTGAGAGACCACAAGCCCAAGATATTTGGGGAAAGAAACAATGAATATGGAAGGTGACACTGAAGATCCCCCTCAAGGTTCACAATGCCATGAAGATTATAAAAGAGACTGTCATGTAAAGCATGTGGGAGATCACCCATCAGAGACACTTTTTAACACAGGAGAGAAGTTCCAGTGTTCAGAATGCACTAGTTCATTTACTTATAAATCTAGTTTAGTACAACATATGAGGGTTCACACAGGAGAGAAGTTCCAGTGTTCAGAATGTTCTAGATCATTTACTAAAAAATCTAGTTTAGTACAACATATGAGGGTTCACACAGGAGAGAAGTTCCAGTGTTCAGAATGTTCTAGATCATTTACTAAAAAATCTGGTTTAGTACAACATATGAGGGTTCACACAGGAGAGATGTTACAGTGTTCAGAATGTACTAGTTCATTTACTAGAAAATCTAGTTTAGTACAACACATGAGGGCTCACACAGGAAAGAAGTTCCAGTGTTCAGAATGTACTAGTTCATTTACTAGAAAATCTAGTTTAGTACAACATATGAGGGTTCACACAGGAGAGATGTTACAGTGTTCAGAATGTACTAGTTCATTTACTAATAAATCTAAATTAGTTGAACATATGAGGGTTCACACAGGAGAGAAGTTCCAGTGTTCAGAATGTACTAGTTCATTTACTTATATATCTAAATTAGTTGAACATATGAGGGTTCACACAGGAGAGATGTTCCAGTGTTCAGAATGTACTAGTTCATTTACTAATAAATCTAAATTAGTTGAACATATGAGGGTTCACACAGGAGAGATGTTCCAGTGTTCAGAATGTACTAGTTCATTTACTAATAAATCTAAATTAGTTGAACATATGAGGGTTCACACAGGAGAGAAGTTCCAGTGTTCAGAATGTACTAGTTCATTTACTTATAAATCTAGTTTAGTACAACATATGAGGGTTCACACAGGAGAGATGTTACAGTGTTCAGAATGTACTAGTTCATTTACTTATAAATCTCAATTAGTTGAACATATGAGGGTTCACACAGGAGAGATGTTCCAGTGTTCAGAATGTACTAGTTCATTTACTAATAAATCTAAATTAGTTGAACATATGAGGGTTCACACAGGAGAGATGTTCCAGTGTTCAGAATGTACTAGTTCATTTACTTATAAATCTAGTTTAGTACAACATATGAGGGTTCACACAGGAGAGATGTTCCAGTGTTCAGAATGTACTAGTTCATTTACTAGAAAATCTGGTTTAGTACATCATATGAGGGTTCACACAGGAGATATGTTACAGTGTTCAGAATGTACTAGTTCATTTACTAATAAATCTAAATTAGTTGAACATATGAGGGTTCACACAGGAGAGATGTTCCAGTGTTCAGAATGTACTAGTTCATTTACTTATAAATCTAGTTTAGTACAACACATGAGGGCTCACACAGGAGAGAAGTTCCAGTGTTCAGAATGTACTAGTTCATTTACTAATAAATCTAAATTAGTTGAACATATGAGGGTTCACACAGGAGAGATGTTCCAGTGTTCAGAATGTACTAGTTCATTTACTTATAAATCTAGTTTAGTACAACATATGAGGGTTCACACAGGAGAGAAGTTCCAGTGTTCAGAATGTACTAGTTCATTTACTAGAAAATCTGGTTTAGTACATCATATGAGGGTTCACACAGGAGATATGTTACAGTGTTCAGAATGTACTAGTTCATTTACTTATAAAGGTAATTTAGTACAACATATGAGGGCTCACACAGGAGAGAAGTTCCAGTGTTCAGAATGTACTAGTTCATTTACTTATATATCTAAATTAGTTGAACATATGAGGGTTCACACAGGAGAGATGTTCCAGTGTTCAGAATGTACTAGTTCATTTACTAATAAATCTAAATTAGTTGAACATATGAGGGTTCACACAGGAGAGATGTTCCAGTGTTCAGAATGTACTAGTTCATTTACTAATAAATCTAAATTAGTTGAACATATGAGGGTTCACACAGGAGAGAAGTTCCAGTGTTCAGAATGCACTAGTTCATTTACTTATAAATCTAGTTTAGTACAACATATGAGGGTTCACACAGGAGAGATGTTACAGTGTTCAGAATGTACTAGTTCATTTACTTATAAATCTGGTTTAGTACAACATATGAGGGTTCACACAGGAGAGAAGTTCCAGTGTTCAGAATGTACTAGTTCATTTACTTATAAATCTAAATTAGTTGAACATATGAGGGTTCACACAGGAGACACACCATATCATTGTACAAAATGCAATAAATCCTTCACACAGAAGTGCCGTATGGTAAGGCACATAAGAGTTCATACAAGAGAAAAATTTCAGTGTTGTGATTGTCAAAAATGTTTTCCCAGTAGAGTGAGTCTCACAAGGCATAGTAGAACTCATCTGACTTCTTACAGTAAAGTTCATGCAAAAGATAATAAATGCCACAAAAAATATGATAATAAACAAAGGCTGAAAAAATGTGGTGAGGAGAAGTCAGGGAGTGGTAGGAGACTTACCCAGAGGAACCACCACCTTGGTGCTCTCGGGAGCAACACAACAGAAAAACGAGCGGGCAATGACCTGAACAGTCCAGAGCCGAGCCACAATAATTGTCGGGAACTGCCCACTTCCTCTCATAGTGAAGATGAGTATAGCCTCTCTTACCAGTGTAAGACAAAGGCTGTGTGTAAACTAGCAGATAATGACCTTGTAGTGAGTAGATCAACACATTTCATAGACTGGTCAGGTCATGGAGTTAAAGATGAACCTGTTGATGGTCAACCTTCAATCTTAAGTATATCAGAAGATCCACTTCAATCTGAGATGGTTCCTCCATCTTCTATAAAATTAGAGAGCCTTAAGGAGGAATTTGAGTTTCTTGAGGAAGAATTGTGAAACCTTGTTAACATTTTGTGTGTAATGCAAGCTTGTGTATGTTTATATTAATAAATATATACTGAGAACCCAACTGTTTATCCTCACAATGTATATAATAAAAGCAGTGGGCAGCAACTTAATAAACAATTCCACTGTAGATCTCATACCTTTATGTACAGCCAGATTACTTTTACCCCTTCGGTGTTGAACTAAAATGGTTTAGTTTACCATAAATTGAAGAATAAAGATAAACAAGTGATAACATATCCTGAGAACATTGTGGACTTGTTGAAATATTAATTTGAGGAACTTGTATTTCAGTGCATATCATTGTTTTCTCATTTTGACTGTCGGTCACATTATTAAACAACAAATATAAGATAATTGGTGGAAGTCTAAAGATATACCGTATATCTTGGCTTATAAGATGGAATTTGAACATTATAAAAATCTGCCCAAAGTTAGGGGGTCGTCTAAACCACCAAGTATAAAATTCTTACCTCTTAAATATTGTGGTTTAGCGTGTCAAGAGTGGTGATGGAAACATCGTAAGCCACTCGCAAGGTCTTGCCACTAATTATTTTATACTGAAACTTATGTTTGGCAAGCTGGATTCAAATTAAGATTACCGGTATATTAAAATAATAAAAATGTATTATAAACCTGTCTAACATACCGTAAAAGAGAATTATACCCCTGTAATAAACACAGCTATCATCACACACCCCTCCCCACGCCCCATTTGCCAGTGAGGAGACAAGAAAGGGAAAGTGACCGCGAGATTGGGCTATTTTTAGCCGTGGAGGTGGTCAGTAATGCATATCGGTATATTTACTGATAATAATACTTAAAATTTATTTTTTTACAAGGAATATTCAGTAAATGACTGCATTAATTCTTGAAACTACTGACAGTTAAATACAGACGCTTAAGTGACGTCACTAGTGTTTACACTACACCAGCTGGTAACATTTGATGCCATTACTTGAAGTGAATTGGCCTTATTTAAAGTAACTAACCATAAATAAATACAAAAGGTAAAAAAAAGATCAAAAGTGAGATATAATATACAGGTTGTACCTCTCTAGTCCGGCATTCTGTGGTCCGGAACGATTTTAGTTTGTCCAATAGGTAGATAGGCAGATTTTTTATTTTTTTTATTTTTTTTGCTTCTCTGAATTATTATTATTATTACAGGAGTATTAAATTTTTGCCCCTCAGGCCCCAATGCGGGCCAGTGACCTATGCCCGGGTGGGCTAATCCCCTTAAAAAAAAAAAAAGCCCCGGGAAATTAAGTTTTGTTTACATACGGCAGTTCGGCTGCACTCAATCTCTCTCTCTGCTTGTCTATCCCAGCCGTTACCAACGCCTCTTCCCTCCCAGACCAGATATCCCTCCTAGTCACAGGCCTGGCATTTGACATTACAGTTTTACCCCGCTTAACGCGCTTTCACTTAACGCGTTTTCGCATATACGCGGTGCCTTGCCAAAGCTGAACTTTCACTTAACGCGGGTTTTTTCCACATATACGCGGTGAGTGTCCGGCTCGGATGCTATTTTTAGATTTTGCCCACGCGCCACCCACCCGCCCGCCTGCCTGCCTGCCTCTCCCTCCTCCTCCCTCCGCTTGGGTAAGCGGCGCGGTAAGGTTGCGCAGTGTGTGTCTTTGTTGCGTTATCACTGACGTCATATGACGTCTCGGACTGTGATTGGCCATGCAGCCCTACCCCCCTCTGCTGCTAGCTGTAATTGGCTTAAAGTATTATGACGTGACTACCCCGGGGAGGGAGGGAGGGAGGAGAGACGACGCTTGACCTAGCCGCGGCAGTTTCATCCCTCAAGGCCACGCCGGGTTAACGCGCATCCATTGTTCCGTAAAATGGCTTCCGCCGGACCACCACCCCCAGAGAGAAACCTTTCCTTACCTGGACCCAGCGGCACTAAACCAAAGAAGACACGACGTTCATTAAGCTACGAGCTGAAGTACCAAATTGTTCAAGATTTGGAGAAAGGAAGACGCCAAGTTGATCTCGCGCGCCAGCATGGCGTCAACGAATCTACGATTCGTACAATAAAGAAGGATGCAGCCAAGATAAAGGAGCACATGAAGATCACAAAGTCTGCAGGTGCTTCAGCTATCAGGTATTGCCAGAACAGGGTGCTGGCAAAAGTGGAAACTTTGCTGGTGAGTTATTTGGTGCGTCAGGCGCGACGCAACATGGCGGTGGACACGCGCTCAGTGCAGGAGTACGCACGTGAGCTATACGCAGCAGTGACACGTAAACTGGGAATTGCAGAGCCCAAACCCTTCAATGCTTCCCATGGTTGGCTGCATAGGTTTAAGAGGAGGAACAAGGTCACCAACATCAGCATTGTTGGTGAGGAAGCGAGTGCTGACCGTGCGGCGGCTAGAGATTTTCCTCCGTTTTTACGTGAGATTATGGAGGAAGGACAGTACAGTGACGACCAGGTGTTTAACATGGACGAATCTGGTCTTTTCTGGAAAAAGTTACCTTCCAAGACCTTCGTTGTCCAGTCTGCGAGCAAGGTAAGGGGCCGGAAGATGCAGAAGGAACGCATCACCGTCCTGTTTACCACCAATGCCTCCGGTACCTGTAAACCAAAGTTATCGGTGATTCACAAAGCCCGCAAGCCGCACGCCTACAAGAATATGGACATGAACAAGCTTAATGTCCACTGGCTAACCGCACGTAAGGCGTGGATGTCCTCTTCTCTGTCCCTCTTCTGGTTTAACAACTGTTTTGTTCCTGACGTGCAGAAATTCTGCGAGCAACAGAATGTTCCTTTCAATATTTTGTTGCTCCTTGACAACGCACCTGGACACTCGCCCCTACTTATGGATCGTCACCCCAACGTAAAAGTGGTCTTCCTTCCTCCCAACACTACGTCATTAATCCAGCCCATGGACCAGGAGTTAATCTGCAATGTTAAAGCTGCATACTCGGCAAAGAAATTCAAGCTCCTGAACGACTCTACCAACACCAAGGATGAGTTGCGTAAGCTGGGTGACACCGACAGCGAGAGTAAAAGCGACGAGGACAAGGAACAAGAGGCGGCGACTCAAGAACTTCTCGTCAAACAATTTTGGAAGAAGTTTAACGTCAAACAAGCTGTAGACTTCTTGGTGGAGGCATGGGATCTGCTGACTATTGCTACGATTCGTCACGCATGGAGACATGTGTTGCATGGCATACCAGGTGAGAGGAGGAGTGAACCTGTGACTGGTCAGGTTCAGACTGTTGCAGTAGCAGTGGACCTTGCCAGAGAAGCTGCGCTCAGTATTACAGCTGAAGGCTTCTCCGAGACCACCAACGAAGACATCATGGAGGTGATCAGAGATCCTGAAGTGACTGCCGACGAGATGTTGGAAGAAGAACCCGCCAGTGAAGAGGAGGAAGAAGGTGCGTCATTCTCCGAAGAACCTAGTTTAAGTCATAGTGATATTAAGTGTCTCATAGAGTTAACAGAAAAAATTAAGTCCATCGTTTCCCGCGACACTGACGATGAACGCCATGACGTCTTCCATACCCGACTGGTGCAGGCTATGGAGCCGTACATCACGGTGTATCATGACAACATCAAAGCCAGCCGTCAGCAAAGCATAACCGAGTTCTTCGCCCGCAACCCACCACAGCCAGCCCAAGCCAGTGATAGTGATAGTGAAGTTGATTTTGAGGGATTTGTCAGGGAAGCCATGACAACTGTAAGTGACAGTGATATTGATTCACCTAGTAATGGTGATTCACCTAGTAATGGTGATTCACCTGAGGGGCAGTAATCTGCCCTCTGCCTCGGAACCAGCCTCCATCCCCGTATGCCGACCCATCTCTTCTACTACCGTGAGTGTTCCTCAAAAATTTTCGTTTTTTAACCTATTCTTTATTTTTCCTATGTTAACCTTTATCTTTCCTAACCTAACCTCTTCTATATTACTTGTTTTTCATGCCACCATAAAGTTAAGATAGAATTTTTACTACAACATAGTTATTTGTCGTCAAAAAGTGGAGTTTGGGGGTCGGGCTGGGTTCTATTGGAATAAATCCCATACGTTCTGTTATTCACTTAACGCGGTTTTCACTTAACTTGGGACCCTCTGGGTTCAATTGACCGCGTTAAGTGGGGTACAACTGTATTAGGGACCTGCCACTCTTTGCCATAAACAGATAAAATGTACCGGGAACTTTCCCCCCACACACTCATCATTCTCTCACTTTATGTAACTTGACAGAACCTATGACCCTTCAGGCTTTTACGCCCTTAATGTACGAGTCATAAAGGCAAGTATGAACTTTTCATACTTCCCTGTTGGGCGCTGTAAACGCTTCTGCGCTTCACCTTGCACAGGATGTAAGGGGGTGCCCAATAAACTTGCCCCCTCGGGGGCAAATCTGAAATCTGAATCTGCTTGTCTATACAGAGTACAACATTTAACCCTTCAATATATATGAGCAGTAAATAAGTGTTGCTTTCATATTCTTATGTCGAGTAATGACGATATATTTTCACAGGTGCGCACTTACATACGAGCAGTCTCACTTTTTTTTTACCATTAATAGTTAGCTACTTATATTGTTCCATTTATTAACATTAAATAACATTACAGGTACTTTAAGCAACCATATTCATTTTTTACATTAATTTTACTACAGCTACAATCAGGGTCTTATTTTCTTCAGTTTTATATGTAGAACCAATCAGTCACTGGTTTCGTAAGTTTTAACATAAACAATGCCGGCAGCCGTCTCGTCTCCTCTAATATTCCACGTATTATTAATAAATTGTATTGTTAATTTTGCACACACGTACATTAATTCAATAAAAACAAATTCAGAAACATTAATTAAAATATATATGAACAGTAAATTAGTGTTGCTTTCATATTCTTATGTAAAGTAATGACGATGTGTTTTCACGTGTGTGCATGCGCACTTACATATGCGATCTCTCTTTTCTTTGCCATTATCGTTAGCTACTTCTATTGTTCCATTTATTAACA